TGAACAACTTTTGCCTCAGGGTCACATCGAAATGCTTCACCAAATTTAAAATAAAAAATAAAATTCAAAAATATTTTATTTATTTTTATTTATTTTAATTATTTTAGCCCGGCCGGGCAAGTGACCCCGGGCCACTCTGGTAGCCTATTATTATATTTGATTTTTTTTACATACCTACTGCGAGGAATGAGCCCTCGTGGGGCCCTCGTCAGACATACAAGTGTTCTGGGCTGCGGCCCCCATCAAGCCAGTGACCGCCCTAAGTGAAGGCGGGCCTGAATATCCCCGTGAGGCCTGTTTTCGACATTTTTCCATACGTGGGTACTCAGACAGTTGCAGCACACCAGTTGGTTACAGAGCAACGTGAGCATCCAGGCTCTTTCCAGAAGCAAATGGCTGCGCTGTACGGTTGAGCCCAGGGCTCAGTTGGTTGCGCCCTGGGCACACGCTGTGTGAGGCCGACACATCACCGCTGAGGTGAGGGGCGCTGCTGAGGCAGCGGGCACGCAGCAGCCATAGCCCGGCTGCAGGGGCGCAGGCAGTTGATGGCGAAGGTGGTCTTCGGGTAGGAGGCGCATGAGGTGGGAGACGAGGGGTGATGAGGAGAGAGAGAGAGCGTACCTGGTGTATGCTGGTGGTCGGCATTGGTGTTGATGTCACGTACATTGGTCTTCGACTTCGATGTGATCCTGTTGCAAGAACATAGATAGGTAGATAGGCTGAGTAGAGTAGGTTGGGCACTAGGCGCTAGACAGTAGGAGCAACATTGAATACAGTGTTCGTGTGATCAGGGAGAGTCGACATTGACACTCAAGTTCATTGTATTGCTCTTATTTGGATGGAATTTTGGTGCATTGTGCTCTCTGCTTGGTACATGACTATCTGGACTACTTCGTGATTTTGCAACTTGGTTTTCTATCTATCGCTCTTGCTCATATTCCTTGCAATTTGGTATCAGAGCTGGTTTGTTATTGGCGCTCGCGACATTGTTACTTGGTGCGTTGACGAAGATTCTATAGAGTGAGGATACATTGGCGCTGGCTGTATTGGGGACTCCCGTGTAGGGGGGAGTGTCGCCTGAAGGCTGTGGAGACAACGTGGGATCTGTGGCAACAATGGATGTATGTGGGATGATGAGAGCATGTTGACATGGCATTTTGGGTGAGGTGGCACTCCATTGCAAAGTGAGTGGTACCGAGGCTATGACCGGTCATCAAATGCACGTTGGCTCAATTGGTGAGGAATTTGTGGTTGGGGGCAGCTATCTTCAGGTACGTTGTTCCCTTACCTTATCTTCCCATCTCAATCTCTTCATATCGTGAGGAAGTGAGTCCAACTTGAGTGTCCTCTTCTGGTTCAGGAGTCGTGAGTGCTCTACCTTGAGAGTCGACATTCTTCCTGGTGGCGCATCTGGCAGGAGAGGGCGGTGCCTCTGAAGGGCCCTTGTCGAAGCACGGGTCATGGTCACTATGCCAACCCAAGGGAGTAGAGCACGCATGCTTTGTTGCTTTGTCCTTTAAGCTCTTGCTGCTCTGTACGGGCCCGCAGCCGGTCCCACAAATGGGACCATAACACTGAAGCCACCTTCTACCTTCTCAGATGATAAGCAGGATGAGGCACTCGACACATGGTTGAGGACGGTTCCAGTGTGGGTAAGGGCGAAAAGGACGTTGCTAGAAGAAAAGGTGATCACTGCCGCCTCATATCTTGAGGGATGGCAACAAGATGGTTAGATGGGATAGTGGCATATGAAGGATTTGGCCGAGGTGATCACTGGCGTCAAACAGAGTTGCCCGGTAAACCGTAGGCAGAGAGGGAGAAGAGGACAAAAAACGAGGGGATGAAACAAACCGTTTCGTCGGAGTTTCACCTAATCATCAGGAGGCTGAACCCTCAACAGTCTGCAGAATCCCCTAGCTGATTACACTGTAAGTGATAATCCACCTTAACCCCGGTTGTGGTTACGCATGAACGACTGCCCGACAACTGATACCTTGAGGTGGGCACCAACCACTGCCCTCAAGGTACACGAGACGAAAATCAAAGCAGACTCACTCACCCACACCAGATGGAAAACTCTACAGACTGTCGGTTCACACCCCATCACAAGCCAGCAAAACACCCACGAAACAAAGAAAGGTCAGTCACAGCCAAAAAATACACTCTAGACATGCCGCTGGCACTAGAGGCACAACATGGCCATGTAGTGACGGCCCCGACCACTACCGCTCGACCTGGCCGGAGAAAATCGTAGCAGGGTGCTAGTGAAGTCGTGGTATATATCATCAAAAAGAGCTGCCCGGTAAACCGTAGGCAGAAAGGGAGAAGAGGACAAGAAACGAGGGGCTGTGACAAACTGTATCGTCAGAGTTTCACTGACTCATCAGGAGGCTGAACCCTCAACAGCCTGCAAAATCCCCTAACTGATTACACTGTAAGTGATATATGTATATATATTGTCAAACAGTATATATAGTCAAACAGAGCTGCCCGGTATATATACATGGTATATATTGTCATATATATCGTCAAACAAAGCTGCCCGGTAAACGGTAGGCAGAGAGGGAGAACAGGACAAGAAACGAGGTGCTGTGACAAACTGTTTCGTCGGAGTTTATATATATGTAATGACCCGCCATAACACAGACTGAGAACACTGCTGATTTCTGAAGTTCTACTGATGGATGCCTTGATGAGATTCCCGCATTCTGCTGTGTTTTCTAAGTCTGTCTGTGTGTGTGCGTGCTTGTGACCTGCATGCCTGTCTGAGTGCTTGTTGGTATGAGTGTGTGTGGGACCCGCAAGGGTACTTGCTTGTTTGGTAGGCCCGTAGGGCCGGTACTTACCTGTGGCCGTGGCATTGAGGGTTGTAGCAGGGAAAACACTCAAGTGGCGAAGCTAGCGGCCCTGAGGCCCTTGGGGTAGCGGAAAAACACTCAAGTAGGCCGGTAGGCCGATACTGCACCCCACTGCAGTTGACATGAGGGGTACTGGAGGCCGAGCAGAAAAAGACAAAGTTGGCATTTTTAGAGTCCAGTAGCGGTAGGGTAGGTCTAGGCCGGTACCAGTCCAACCAGTCTGAGTCTAGAGCCTGTACGGGTAATATCAGGGTCTGCAATGATGTTTCCCTCCGAAACGGAGGAGGTACCAGTTGCTTGGAGAGGCCGAGCGGCCTGGAAGTCACCGCCCAAGAGGCAAGCAGGCCGCTATATCTAGAGGCGGAGGCAAGAGCTCCGCCTCATTCTTCAGTGTGCGAGTTGGGCGTCACGCTGCTGGAGCGTTGGTTGGAGGAGCGCTGGCTCTTACAGCGCTGCTAGGAGGAAGAAGCCGGGAGCTTCCACCTTGGCTATGGTGGAGCTCTACCGGTAGGAGGAGGAGGGAGAAGGGGACCAAGGAGGAGAGTGGCGAGGTACTTACTGGCTATGGTAGACACCATCTTCATCTCCTTGCTAGGCGCTGCATCAGGAAGGCCCCAGTGGGGGTAGTGCCGCATCAAGGAAGCTCGGACAGAGTCAGGCATGGCGGTTAAGTGGGCAGCGGCATAGCTGCTGGGTGATGACCTTGAAGTGGGGCAGCGGCATAGCTGCTTTGGGGTTGTCTTGTGTACAGGAGGCTGAAGCCTCCGTAGTCCGCCATAGCCTCGGCCTGTATGTGGAGGAAGAAGAAGGGCTGCCATGGCTATGGTGGACCTCATCTTGTGCCTGCAGTAGAAGTGGGATTCGGACATTGATTCTGGTTCAGCTGTTCAACATTATTATTGTTTATTTATTGTTTGAATAAGAGAGGAGGAGATAAAGAGGAGGAGGTTGTTGAGCGAAGAAGAAGAGCTTTGTCTTTGGTCTATGCTGGAGTACATCATCTCTTTCTTCTTTCTTGATTCTTCTTCTTCTTCTTTCCCTCTCTCTCCTCTCAAGTTCTTTCATTTCTTTTGCAATTGGACAGCATTGGGCTCAAGTTCATTCATTTCTTTTCGCAATTGGACAACATTGTACTTTCTGATGATTGTGGACTTCGAAATTGGCCAGGATCGTAACATATATAACTCGAAATAGCGTCCACACTTAATGCCATATCCTGAAAAAGAAGGAGAAGAAAGGAGTAGGACAAGTTTAACTAGATACAATCTCTTGAACACATGAGTACATGCAATGTCTGGACAGTCGGCACACAAATGCGAGAGGTAGGTACTGCATTATGAAAACTATAGCCTGAGGTTTTCTAAAAAGAATCATATTCCTCAAGGAGAGCTTGCCTGTGATACACTCAGCAGCCTGCATCTGCTCGTCTCGGCCCTGCAGGTGCAAAGATGCAAACCTCCAAGTCTGCGCCTGGAGGGTGGAAACGTCCAGATGCGACAGGCCAGAATTGTTGCAGGCAGACACTGAACTTGAAATGTTGGGGTTACTATGTTTACCATGATGACCTGCACAAGCTTTACGGGTATCCCTTTCCGTGTTACGGACAAAACTACAAAACCCGCACAAACTCAATTGAGCATGGCCAAATCGCCAACACGGGGGGTTCCCCGGGGGGGTTCCCTCTGATATGACGTATGGCAGCTATGGCTTAGTAATTCCCCGCTGAACCGTCTTCCCTTCACCCACAGGCATTCGGGTCAGAGATGCTACATCACTGCAAAGTGCGAAGAAGCCCCCATAGGAAATGCAACACTTCTCCCCCACAAAAAGCTTGAAGGACAATCCAACAGCTTGAAGAGCTCCCCTCGTCATGCTTCGCTGCTAACACACCACCACCTTCTCCCTTACACAAGGGTATTCATGCGTCTGACATTGATAAGTTTCTTAGTTGTTGGGTGACAGGCTCTCTCCCTCTCGCTACTCTCTCCCGCACATGTGCGAGTCTATGGTCGAGACAAAGAAGACAGATTGCAAATGTTTCCACTGCAGGCAACATACGCCGTTAACTTAGCCCATTGCTGACAATCCACTCCTGTTTCCACTCATCCTCGGCCCGCCCTCTCCTCATCATTGTTTCCCTCTTCACTGTCTTCCACTTTATCCTTCTACTGTTGCTCCTTTCTATCCTCCTCTATCTCCTCTGTACTCCGCTCTCTTCCTCCTCCTTTTCCTCCTCCTTTTCCTCCTCCTTTTCCTCATCCCTTCGCATCTTCCTTCTTGCTCTCCTCCTCTTTCCCTCTTCGTCCCCGCGTTCACTTCTTCCTCCTCCTACCTTCTCCTCCTCGCCTTCCTCCTCTTCTTCCCCTCCCTCCTCCTCCTCCTCCTCTACACAAGTTTTCAGTTCGCACATAGTCGCAAGTCTCTACCTCGATCATTCTCGGATCTCTGAGTCATCCTTGCAGCCTATACGTACTGCAATGTATGCAAATGTCCCAAAGCTAAAATCCCTCCTCCACCATCTCACTCCCACTCTGTGCCTCGACACGCTGAACACTGAACAGTTGCCACATTATGCACCGATCTCAGTGGTTGGTTCTCAGTGGCTTGGTCGGACAGACCCAGACTCGCGCTGAGACTCAAATTCAGGCTGAGAGTCCTGGTCAAACTCAGACTCAGGCTGAGAGTTGTAGTCAGACGGACTCAAGCTGAGATGACTCAAAATCAGGTTGAGACTCAGAGGCAGATCAGATTCAGGCTGTGACTCAGAGTCAGACTCACACTCATGTTGAGTCTCAGAGTCAAACTCAGACTTGGGATGAGACTTCAGACTGTGGCTCAGGCTGAGACACAAAGTCAGACTCAGACTACCGTCTTCACCCTGGTCATTATAGCTGTATTTAGGGCAACTTTCAGTCTAGATACAACGATAATGACTGGCCCAGACCAGACGTTCTATTTGGGTGACGACGGTAAGGCTGCAGCTGCAAGTCAAACTCCCACTCACGGTCAGTCCCTGAGTCAAGCTCAGACTCAGGCTGAGACTTAGAGTGAGAATCACACTCAGGCTTAGACTTAAGAGTCAGAATCACACATTCAGGCTGAGACGTACAAAGTCAAAGTCTGAGTCTGACTCGATGTCTCGCTCTGTCACTCGCTCACTGCATATAATAGCTTTCTAAATGAACCACTGAAACACCAAACCACCAGCAAGACATCGACCCTTGTGAATTTCTCTAAGGCATATGGTAGCCGGCGGATACCTAGAATCCATGGCAGACATCGACTCTTTCCTTTGCTGACGTGTGGATCTCCTAGCACAGCGAACACAGACGCCACTTTGCTGTTCTTCTCAGTGGCAAGCAGTCGCAAGCGGAGGGCCACAACAAAATACATATTGTCAATGAAATATATATTTCTGTTTGACAATACATTGTCGCAGAGAATCCAGTGTTGATATCCCCTTGTTCTCGCACAGGTGTGTGTGTCTGATATCCCCTCGTTCTCACACAGGTGAATGCATATCTTCCCGGAAACTTCGCGAACACTGAGACTTCTCTCCCGATCTCAATGGCTTTGAAGCCTTTGATCAGGTAGGTAATCACACTCGATGGGGAGCAATGTAATATACGAAGCCATGTTCAATCGTTGCATTGGATGCTTATCACTCACATGCCAGCTTGTGGTCAAAGCTGGTGAGACAGATAGCGAATGCCTGCAATGCCGATAAGGGGTATTGATAGTCCATGGTGAAGACGTCCTTGGCCACTTTGCCGAACTGCAGTAAAACCGTGTCCGTGTCTTCGTTGGTCACTAGCTGAAAGTTTTTGACCGAAGCTTGGGTCACTCTCCCATTGAAGTTGAGACAGTAGGCACCAATCTGTTCGTTCCATTTGGGGGGTTTGTTCCTCATGCAGATGAGACGGCCAAGATTGCCAGCCCGGTACGCTTCTAGGATGGCCTGACCACCCTTCTGCGGGCGAAACACCTCTCGTTGGCCTTTCTCGTCGACCCATGGCAGCAGCGCCGTCATCTTTCTTGGGCCTCTTGTGCCTAACACATTGTACTGGTACAGCACAGCCCCCAGCTCTACCCTCTCCGTGGCCTGGCTCGGGCTCACCACCCCTGGCAAACTACTGCCACCATTCGAAGAAGCGATCAACGATGACGACGACGACGACAATGAAGACGACGAAGTTGTGGGGTTGTTGTCGTTGCTGTTGCTGTTGCTGCCGCTGCCCGGTTTGCGGATCCCTTTGTCATAGAACCAAAACTCGGTCCCAAGGAAATTGGACCGCAACTTGCCGAAGTAGTTTCCACTGTTCCTAGAAGTGTCGTCCTGGTCGAGAGAGATGATGTAGTTGCTGGACTTGCTTCTTTTCCTCTTTCGTGCCGCGAGCAGGAATTTGTCGCCCTCGGCAAGAGAAAGGACATACTTTGGGAACACTCTGGCTCCTTTCCCTCTGAATCTCTTAATCTGGCACTGAACGGGACCTACAGGTGAACCCGGCTGCATCAGGAACATGCGAGTGTCGGCCAAGTCTGGGGCCGTGTAGGACAGGCACACTAACGGTCCACTCTTCTCCGTGGGGTCATATACCATAGGAATTCCTTTGTCCCGTAGAGCCTTCCCTACGTCCTTTACTTTTGCCTCCTTAGGGCCCCTCGGGCCCGAGTTGGATGGGACATTTTCAGATCCATAGCCTGCACCAATCCCGCGACATTCTGCGTTGAATCCTCTTCCCTCTCCTCCTCCTCCTCCTCCTCCTCCTCCTCCTCCTACGCTTCCTATTCGTACTTCAGGACCATTTGGTCCTCCTCCTCCTCCTCCTCCTCCTCCTCGTGTTGCTATTACTATTCCGCTTGCACTTTCTGTCCCGATCCCGTTCCTCGAGCAAGCTTCCGGTTTGTTGGACCTATTCGAGGCCAAAGCCTGGAACAAAGAGTTGGCTGAGACGGGTCGGGATCCGACCGGAGTGGAGGTGCTCCTGCTCAGCGCACTCCCTGGCCTGGACACATTGAGACGTGGCGTATCGTTGATCACAACCATTCCACTCGCCACAGCCCTCTCTTTCTTCCTCTGCGCAGCTAACTGCCGCCTCTGCTCCATTCTCTGTGCCACTAGGGCCTCTTGCCTCTTGTTTGCCACGTGGCCAGGTGCCAGCAACTGTCCTACGGTCGTTCCATTCCTAGTTTGACTATAGCTAGCAGCATGACCATTACCGCAGCGTTGACCGCCGCCTCGACCGGTCGCTCCCAGCGCTTTGCGCGCGCCCTCGAGGTTCTCATCTGACATGTCATCCTCGTCGTCATCAAATATGTGGTTAGTGTAACTCGTTACTGAGCCGTGGAGATCCACGTCATCAATCACAAACCGGTCCATGCGGAGAGAGTTGATGCCCCCGGTCAACGGTAAACGAGCGATAAGGTTGGGGCCTACAGCGGAGGGAAAGCCTCTACGCTGGAGTCTGTCATTCTCGCGGCTGCTACTGCTAGATACCGGTCGTTCAGCCAGAGCGTTGTCATAAGTTCTTGCAGAGACCGGTCGCACAGCGGTCTCGTAATCGAGCCTCTCCAGCCTACCGGTCGTCTGACTCAAGTTCTTCAACCCACAGACACGTCGGTGCCATTCCTGCTGCTGCTCCACACCCACCCTCCCTTCGCGGACCAAATCCTTGTACCGGTCATCAGCCTCGCGACCTCCACAGCCATCGCCATCGCCATCGCCGACGCCATCACCATCTTCATCGTCATCCTCATCATCGTCATCATCGTCATCATCATCATCATCATCATCATCATCATCACCATCTTCATAGTCCTCCTCCTGTCCATCAGTGCTACAGCTTCTCCCTGACCTGTCACTGCAACTCGTCTGTGTCCTCCACGTGTTTGGTGCCGCAGAGGTCGGGACGGAACGACTGTCAGAAGATGACACGTGGCTCACCACAGATCCACTCTGTGTTTTGCCATTCCTGTCGTTTCTGGACATAGAAAACATCGGAGAAGAGGCCTCCTCTCCTCCTCCTCCTCGTCCTCTGCCCCTTTGCCCTTCCCTCTCCTCACCATCGTTTCGTGTTTCTCTCTCTCGCTCCCCTCCTCTCCCTCCCCCTCCCCGTCCCCCTCCCCCCCCTCCTCCTTCCCCTACTCTTCCTCCCACCCCCTCTCCTTCTACTTCTACTCCTCTACGGGCCCACGTTCCCTCCTTCCCTCTGCGTTCCCGTCCAGGTCCGTTTCCCTCCTCTCCTCTACCCTCTCCTCTACCCTCTCCTCCTCCTCCTCCTCCTCCTCCTAGTGTGCGTCCATTGCCTACCGTTACTCTTACGCCTCTTTCCCCCTGATCCTGCAGATTCGCATGTGCAGATCGACGGCCTGGATTTGCTGGCGCTTGGCTCCCTCTTCCCCCGTCCTCGACGCTCGATCCCGACTCCCAATCCTCCTCAGGAACTACTCTTTGTCCGGACCATCCTTTGTCCCAATCTTCCCTCTTTTTTTGAGATGTCTTTTGTCCCAACCCCTCTCTCTCCCAATTCGACGACTCCTGCCCCCCCCACCTCTCCCTTTTGCTAGCCCCCCCGTCGACCCCCCTCCTCCTCTCCTCCGCTGTTCTCGCGTCTGCATCGTCACACTGCTCCCAAGGACATAAGCCCTCCTCCTCCTCCTCCTCCTCCTCCTCCTCCTCCTCCTGCTGGTGCTGCTGCTGTGCAAAACACTTGTCCGGCCAACTCTTTTCTCTCCTTTGCGCCTCTACCCGACCGGACGCTCTCAGCATTGGTGCGGGCTTCGATGACCCACCCGCCCCCCGCAAGCGCTCATCTTTCCCACCCATCCCTCTCATTCTCTGCTTGGCTTCGTTGTCACCAGAAGGACAGTGAGGAACAACAGTTCTCTTGGCGGGACCGTGGAGGTGGTGGAGGGGGAGGGGATCTTGGGAGCGCAGAGCAGCAGGAGGAGCATCAAAACCACCGAGAGGCCTGTCGTTCCGTCTTCCCCCCGTCCGGGCAGCGCTCACTGAGTCATCCCTTCGCGATAGTTCTCTGATCAGCGGGTCCCCCCTCCGAGCTGTGTCTTCCGCGCTCCCAAGATCCCCTCCCCCYCCCCCTCCCTCTCCCCCTCCCCCTCTCCCTCTCCCACCTCCACCCCTTCCAACAGATCCCTTGTGTCGTCCGGCTCGCGGCCCCGATCGCTCCCTCTTGGGGTCTCTGGCAAATGCAGGTGGGTTGGGATCATCCGAGTCCAGGAATGCTTCCGCTGACATAAACATGATGAGTACTTGCTCACTTGATCGGTCAGGACGATTCAATTATAGATTGCAGGGAATCCAAACGAGCTGCACTGCTAAGACGCAACACGACTCACTGATGCTAGGATTAACTTTTGCTCCCGCATTGTAACGCTCATTCCTACACCTTGGGCTTGCCTGCCTTTCGCCCCTCTCTCAATCTGTCTCGATCTGTCGGCCTGTCCAGGTCTCTGCCTGTCTGGCTGTGTGTTTCTGCGCCTCTCTCTCTCTCTCTCTCTCTCTCTCTCTCTCTCTCTCTCTCTCTCTCTCTCTC